TCTGTAAGATAAATGAAGACTTCTTTTGATGACCTCTTTTGAAATTACTGGTTACTTGGCTCCACCAAAGTGGAACTGTAGCCATAACTTTTTGTATATCCAGCTTTAGAGTATCTTTAGAATTGCCATCACATATTTCTTGCTATCTTTTTCCCACTGTGGAAGTTAATCTTCTATATCTGTCCTGGTGGCCATTGTTGCGAAGACAGAAAATGATAGAAAAACCCAAAAACGTGACCAGAACAGAAATAAGGGGCAAACCTTCTTCTGAGGACACTTACCCTAGTGACTACTGTCAAAGGTGGAATTTTCACTCTCTATCTGCTGTGCCATAATAGCCAGTGGGCAGACGCAGGAGCTTAGCACAGAGATCTTACCACCAATAGAGTACCAAAAATGGAAGAAACTGTCAGTGGGTTGAGCTTTAATATCTACTAAAATTAAAATCTTGTTTTTTTGGTTGACTGACCCTTTAATAATATGATTGGGTTGCATTTATAGGTCTTAAAGTACCAGGATGGGTTCATGCCTAGAATTATGTACCTTTCTGGTGTTTATTCTCAGAGATTTAGTTCTGAATACCTTTGATTTAGATGGCTGAGTGTGTATGGGGACACAGGGGGATTGTGGTTGTTTCTGCATTGAATTTACCTCCCAGGAGCAACACGACGTCATTGTAAACATCGAATAGTTTATGTTGTCACTGTTCTCATAATATTTACCTCTTCCAATAGCTCATGCATGAAACTGCTACATAATACAATTTACTGCAATTTACTAGGATCACGAAGATTTCAGCAATTCGCTAGTAGACGTCAAAGTCAGTTTTTCACCCTCAATAAGGGCTCATGCCCATGAACACGGTTTGTACAACAAAAAAAATGGGTGTATTTCGGCACCTGGGAATCACAGGTGGTGTATACAGCCCAATGCCCGCAGCTTTTCAAAGTCAATGAAAAAAGCAATTTTTTAAACCATGAACTGTAAGCAATTTTACTTTAAAAAATCCTTTTCATACAAAGAATCTGATTATTTGTATTCGGTGAGGTGCTTTGAACTGTAAAGTAGGTAGGGCAATGCAATAGGATAGCTTAGGGTGGGGGTATGCATAGTGGATGTCATGCACTGACCCTCTTGTAGGATAATTACATACCATACAGCCCAGTCTCTGGCTGCATTCTAGTATAAAAAAATATATACAGGTGTATCTCGGTTTACGAACGCCTCGGTTAATGTCATTTTCGGTTTAAGAATGAAAATCCATTGAAAATAATGGCTCGGTTTATGAATTTATTTTGCAATACGAACGGATTAATTGTTTTTCAATGCATTTACAAATTTTTTTTTAATCATGTCCCTGTACAGTACTATGCCTTTAAAGTGCACTTTATAAAGAGTTTTGAACAGATAAGACTTTTTTTTTACTTTTTTCTGACCTCTGGAATGGATTAATTGGTTTTCAATGCATTTACAATTTTTTTTTTTAATCATGTCCCTTTATGCCTTTAAAGTGCACTTTATAAAGAGTTTTGAACCGATAAAACATTTTTTGACTTTTCTTCTGACCTCCAGAACGGATTAATTGGTTTTCATTGCATTTACGAATTACTTTTTAATCATGTCCCTGTACAGTATTTATGCCTTTAAAGTACACTTTTTAAAGAGTTTTGAACAGATAAGACTTTTTTAATTAATTTTTAAGCTCCAAGGATCAGGGCCCTCCTATTCCCTCTTGTATTGAACTGTATTGTTGCTGTATTGTCTCCCGTTATATTGTAAAGCGCTGAGCAAACTGTTGGAGCCATATAAATCCTGTATAGTAATAATAATATAAAATAATAATCATGTCCCTGTACAGTATTTATGCCTTTAAAGTGCACTTTATAAAGAGTTTTGAACAGATAAATTCTTTTTTAAAACTTTTTTTCTGACCTCCGGAACAAACGAATGGGTATTCAATGCATTTACAAAATTTTTTTTTAATCATGTCCCTTTATACCTTTATAAAGAGTTTTGAACAGATAAAACGTTTTTTGACTTTTTTCTGACCTCCGTAACAAATTAATTGGTTTTCAATGAATTTACGAATTACTTTTTAATCATGTTCCTGTACTGTATTATGTCTTTAAAGTACACTTTATAAAGAAGTTTGAACAGATAAAAGACCTTTTTTCTTACTTTTTTCTGACCTCTGGAATGGATTAATTGGTTTTCAATGCATTTACAAATTTTTTTTTAATCATGTCCCTTTATACCTTTAAAAGTGTACTTTATAAAGAGTTTTGAACAGATAAAAACGTTTTTTGACTTTTTTCTGACCTCCAGTAACAGATTAATTGTTTTCAATGAACACGAATTAAATCATGACAGTTTTTGCCTTACTTTTTTTTTGAACTAAGACCTCTGGAATGGATTAATTGGTTTTCAATGCATTTACGAATTTGTTTTTAATCATGTCCCTTTATGCCTTTAAAGTGTACTTTATAAAGAGCTTTGAACAAATAAAAGACTTTTTTTAACTTTTTTCTGACCTCTGGAACAGAATAATTGGTTTTCAATGCATTCCTTTGGGAAACCGCGTTTCAGTTTACAAATTTTTCACAATACGGAAAGTCCCGCAGAACGAATTAAATTCGTAAACCGAGGTACACCTGTATTTTAAAGGTAAATTAAATGGATATTCTGATGTAAGCACAGTTCTAACATTTCAGATTAAAAGTTCTGTAGTTGACATTTTTGTTTCCTTAACTGCCTCTTAAAACTTTCCTAGTGTTTTTTTAATTTTGCATTCTAATTTTTTTAAATTGTTTTAGGATGGATGAAAATTACAATCTCCTTCCTCACGGAGTCAACTTTCAAGACCCCATTTTCCCCAACACACAGGAAAACAATCGCATCTTCGCCAGTATCTTTCAGTTCTCCAACTGTGTGGCCGGAACGGATCCTCAGGTCTTCTCTCCAGACTGGGAAGCTCAAGAGGACAGTAGGGTGAGCAGAGGACAAACATCTGCTGCTTCACGTTATCCCAGTCTTATCTGTGTCCCCCACGCTGGCTCTTTGTTAATTTTTCCTTTGAGGATTTCAGGTTATTCCATCATTTCCTCATTGATATTTCCTGGCTCACATGTCTGTTTTGTAGCCTTGGTCTTCGTCAACCTTTTCCTGTTTTTGAATCTTCTTTTGATCTTTATTCAAATGTTAAAAAAATAATAAAAAATGGTGTTAGGTATTAACCTAAATCCAGCTATAGATGGAGCGATTTTCCACGGGTTGCAAGAAAGAAAATCGCTCGACTCCCTCATCAACACAGTCAGTGTTGATGAGGGAATCCCTCCCATGGAGCTATTGTGTTCTCCCCCCCGCCATAGCTGCTACCAACAGGCTGGTTATGCCCAAAGGTAATCGATTGATCAACTTTGGTACATTCAGCCTGCCCATACATGGTTCAAATTTTGCCATGTCCCTGCTGAACCTGCCTAGATTTAATGCTATGGCTGGCTTTAGACTAGCAGATATTTGGTAATGTAGACCTAAAGCATGGAGATAATTGATACTTTTGTGTACACAACTAGGAAATAATCCATAAATAAAGAAGATAAAACTTAAACTAGGTGATAAATGACAATTCAGATCTAAGACTAGGAGATCATCGATAAGTTAGGTGAAGACCTAAGAAGGCAAAAGTATGTTTTGGAAAATATTTTTAATATTGTGTTTTTAGGGTCTACAAGTCTTTGCACCTCATTCCCCTCCCAAGTCACCATTTTGTTATGACTTTTTCTAAGGTTAACACTGAGATTGAACATGTAAATACTATTACTAATCCCTGTTTAAAAAAAATTAGCTGAGATATCCTAATTGGTCTAAGTAGGTGATGCTGGCTACTGGGAATGTATTTAGTTCCTCCTGTACTAGTGCCTCTTGCGTCAGTGCCTTGCTTTGTTAGGCAGATACTGTGTGCGCCATTTATCCTGCTCCTTGCTGTTGCCTTGCACCCTGTACCCTGTTACCTTATATCTGCTCCCCTTGTTTCTGATCCCCCCTTCCTTGCATCTCTGGTATTACCTGTGATCTGTGTTCTTCATTTTGTATATATTGTATTATAGTTAGGTTGTTAGGTATTTTGTCACTCGGTTAGTTGTTACAGTGACTTTGCTGTATGCTGTGTTTTCTGTTTGCTAGTGTTTAGGTGAATTTTGGTTTTGCTGTAAATAAATATTGCTTAAAGCATACATACTCTGGTCTCAGTTTCCCAAGTGCAGGCACACATATCTAGCCATCCCTGCTGCTGATTCCTGACATTCACATGGCTATGTATTCTTTATAGCTGATGCAGTACAGCAAATGGGCCATGGAGGTGTGTGAGAGGGTAACTTTGGAACAATAATGAGACTTTAAAGCAGAGTTTCTCAACCAGCGTTCCATGGAACCCTAGAGTTCTTCCATGGTTGCTAGGGATTCTATGAGCAATGAGCAATTTCTGCCTTCAGATAAATTCCCACTGACACCATTGATCTTTTTAGCGATCTGTAAGGGGCTAATGCTTACCAATGAACTCAAGCGTAAGTAGGGCCAGTGCTTCCGCCAGGCAAACTAGGCATCCGTCTAGGGTGCACTGCCACCTAGGAGCTCCTGGGCGCAGCACAGGCTGGTACTCTCTCTTTGTGGGACGCCACCATGTCATGAATGATCCTTCAGCTGAGGGGCGGGGCGGAAGAGGGGGGGAGGAAGAAAGGACAGAGGAAGATGACGGGTGCCTGGGGCCAGTGTAGCAGCTGAGCTGCCGCTCCGTCCAGTGTTCCTCTGAGACTCAGTGCCTTACTGCAAGGCGGCTGATGGCTGCTGATCACTGTGGAGTTCAAGCCCTTCTCTTCCCATTCATCAGCGGAGGCTGAGCTGTGCCTGCAGAGGAAGGTAATGTTAATGTCTGACCCTGATGTCCTGTGTCTGAGTGTGACCCGGCCAGCTGGCCATCAATCACATGTGCAATGTGTCAGTGAGTGATGACATCATCACGGTCCTACAGCCTGCTCTTTTAATGACTGTTGGGCCTGCTGATCTGTGTCCTTGTTGGTGGTGGTGTGTTGTGTCGGATCTGTCACTGTCTGGGATCGCTCAGTTCAGGTGTTCTCTGTGTGTGGGGCTGCCTGCTGTCACAGCCAGGGGTGGACTCACCATTTGGAAACTTGAGCACTGCCCGAGGGCCCGGGGTCAGTAGGGGGCCCCATGAGATGCCCCTGGTTCCTTTTCCATAGGCTTTTTTGAGTTTGAGCAAGGACACAGGGGCCCCATGATCCCCTATTGCCCGGGGGCCCCATGAGTTGTCAGTCCGCCCCTGGTCACAGCCTTTTAACTCCTCCTATTGCCTGGGGAATGCCAGCCTGGGATCTGTCAGAGCTATCTTAAGCCACTTATTTTTGCAAATAAAAAGAAATTTAGCAGTTTCATGTTTTGTTGATTTAATATTTTCTACTGTTGTTAAAAAAAAATGTTTTTTTTTTTTTTTTTTGGGGGGGGCGCAAGTAGCTGGTCTTGCCTAGGGCACAAAATAGTCTAGCACCGGCCCTGGGTGTAAGGAGCATTCTTCCATGGACTATCACACAAAGGTATCATGAGTTATAGTTATATTTTGCAGGGGGTCCCTGAGACCAGAAAGTTATTTCAAGGGTTCCTCTGTGTTGAAAAGATTGAGAAAGACTGCCTTAAAGTGATAATAAAGGCAGCTAAAAAAAAAACAGTAACAAACATGACATACTTACATGCTCTGTGTAGTGTTTTTTGCACAGAACAGTCTCAAACTTCCTCTTCTGCGGTCACCCACCGGTGCTGCTGTCCCCTTCCTCCTGTTGAGTTCACCTATAGCAAGCAGCTTGCTATGGGGGTACCCGCTTGCTTCTGAGCTGCTGCTCTGTGTGTCCATTCACACAAAGAGCACTGATCGGTTCGCCCCCTGCTCTCTCCTCATTGGCTCACTGTCTGTGATCGACAGCCATTGGCTCACGCTGCTGTCTCAGCCAGTGAGGATAAGGAGACCCTGGGGAGCTACTGTTCTCGTGCACATTGCTGGATCGAGATGGGACTCAGGTAAGTATTAAGAGGGGCTAGGGGCACTGCTGCACACAGAAGGTTTCTTACCTTGAAGGTAAAAATACCTTGAGCCTTTACAACCACTTTAAAGTATCAAAATAGTTTATTATTACACACACAGAATTTCCAGCATGCTGGGAGCCCTCTGTGATTACTAAAGCTGGCCATTTTTTGTTCGACCAGCGAAAAAAAATTTGATTCCCTCATCCACACATTCAAGGTGGATGGGGGAATTCTCCTCAGTGTGTCTTTGAATTCTGACAGCGAAGAGACTTCCCCACCATTGTTAAAATAATCTACAGCGCTGATCGGGTGGCCAATCAGTAGATCAACTTCTGTGTGACCACAGTGTCCATACATGGGTTGAAATTTGGCCAGTCCCTGCTTAGAGATTGTTTTCTCCTTTCCACAGTAAATCAGATTACCTTTTTTGTGCAAAAGTTGTATATTTATGTTGGCCAAAAGGGGAATAAGTGTCATGGTGGGAGCAGGGGCGGACTGACCATTTGGAAACTCGGGCACTGCCCGAGGGCCCGGGGTCAGTAGGGGGCCCCATGAGATGCCCCTGGTATCTTTTTCATAGGTTTTTTTGAGTTTGGGCAAGGACACAGGGGCCCCATGATCCCCTATTGCCCGGGGGCCCCATGAGTTGTCAGTCCGCCCCTGGGTGGGAGCCAGTGGTGAATTATTACCTATGAGCCTCAACTGATCCCTCACTGTGTGAAACTTGTCAATGAGGGTGTTTCCTTTCATTCCCTGTTTTGATGACATTCTGATACATTGGGACAGAAGTGAGAACAAATTCATGCAGCTTGGAGAAAAAAAAGTGTATTTGGTGCTATTTGTATCTCCACTGGAAATTTGTCTCCGCTTCTTATTCCAGTGTCAAGACAAAAGTGAAAAATAAAAGTAAATCCACCAATGAGAGCAAAAAGAAAAGAAAAAAGGTTATACCTCTTCTCATTTGGACTTAAATCTAAAAAAAAAATGCTTGACTGGTGTTGTTTAATAGCTTCTATTTTATGAACATTGCAACTCCTTTTTCTTTCCCAACATCTTCCACTTTGAGAACATTAGACTCACATTCGACTGTATTTGTTGAAACAGAGAGTCTGCTTTATCCAACAAAAACAGTTCTTCCTTTAAATTTGGCCAATATTTACCCAATGTTTGATCCTTCTTAGCGACTCCAATTTTTACTTATGTTCTTCTTTTGCAGTTGCTGTGTGATTCAGTTCAAAGGGCTTTGTTGGAAGAAGAGGAACGTTCAAAGACCTTATCCCAGAAGGTTCGTTTCTTAGAGAAAGCCAATGCCCACCTGCGAGAGAAAGTAAAGAACCTAAAGAGAGCCCTACGTCAGGCCACTGTGGACAGTAAAAAGGAAGTCCTCTCCAAACACCTCATGGACAAAGAGAAAGCCATCAGTGAAGAGGAACCAAATCCTGATAGCCACAAGAAGGTCATAGCTAAGTCAACCAAGAAAAAGCAACGGGCAACAACCTGGATTAGTCTAGGCCATGTAATATCTTCTGGAGCAATAACGCACTAAATGGTACCAGATATTGAGGGCTAAGTGGACAGGAAATTAAAAAAAAAACCCCCTTCATACATCTGGAGCTGCAGGATCATTATATAAAGACAGTTATCAGTATTAATATATGTTACATTCTCTTTCTGAAATAGAAAACTACCACAATAGTAGTTTTATATTCCATTCCTCATCTTCCTTATGTTCTTCCATAACCATTTTCAGTATTTTCATCCAAGAAAAAGTGCCCTGTAACACCAAACACTTGGCTTTCCGTGGCAAAAAAGTCAACTACTAGACATAAAATTGCAAGTTAACCCATGTAAAACTTATTTCTTTTTTTTTTTTTTTACTTTTTTTGTGTGAATAAATGTGTAATGGTCTTAGAAACTTATCGAAACTAAATATATGTTAAAAGGTGGTGTTATAGTGCTGAAAAATATCTTCTGGCAGACATTTTTTTTCACAGAATTTTTCTCAGGCATGTGGGAGGAAACAGTAGCAAAATATAGAGCATGACCACCTTAATTATGGCTGTCAAAATATCCTAGAAATACTGACATTGGTTGGCTATGGGAATGACATTGGGATATTTCATTCTGAGCTCAATCACCAATAAAAAAAAAAAAAAATGGTCATTGTAATGGAATAGACCCCAGACTGCGCTTGGGTACTTCTTTTAGACTACCGCTTCCCTGTCCGAATACCGACCACAGACACCACAGCTGACTATACAAGACTAGACGACACCAGTCTTGAAGTAATCCAGGAGGTAGACTACTTTATTTTAACACAGATACAAGATAAATACACTCAAGGGAACAATCCCCCCTCCCTGCATAATGACACAGGGCGGGGCAATCTACATTTAGTAACAAGAGACACACCAACAGACAGTCCTATCAGGAGGAAGGGCTGCTGGAGACACCCCCCCCCACCAAGCCAATACCCATAAACACATACATCCCACAATAGTTTGCTCCCAAGCCAGACACACAATAGAACAATGGGATGCAACCCCATAACACCAAACAATCCACAGCCCCCACCCCACCTATACATGTCTAAACAATATTAGGACAATTCTCCCTGTACCCCTAACAGGCACAGGGTGACTTACACATAATAGGGATATGGGGAGCTGAGACAGGGGTCTCCCCACCTCTCCAAAGTGAGCTGGGTTCCATGGGCCCCCCACCCAAAGTGACTCCCGTCACAGTCATGCTACATTCTTTACCAAAATTGGAGGAATGAGCAGACAGAAGAGCAACTTTTGCCAGGATGCCAAGCAATTGGCAGCCACTGGAGACAGGAAATCATTGAGGTGGAGCACCCAGTAAAGATGACCTATAAGGAAAAAAATGCAGCTGGTCTCCTGTCCATCTATCCCATAGAGAAGTATCTGTGAATTAGAGAAATAGTTGGTCAGTTGTTATTATAACAGTGCAATCTTACTTCTTATGGACAGCTGTGTGCGCTGTTATTCATTTATATTTGTAGCACAAACCCCCTTAAGAGTCGCTAAGTTTTGGGTCCCTGTACAACTCTGCACAGCCAGGCAACACGCATTTTTCCCCCACACCTGCACACTGGAGACAGTACACAGTCCTCAAGCTTGGTTTTGTGATTTTATTAAAGGGTTTTAACCTTAGATGGGATTGAGGGGTGTATGGCATGCCCAAGGGAACTGGATAAACGCCTTAGCAACTATGTACAAGTCCATGGATAAAAAGTCTCCCCTTCAAATAGCTCTCTAGCTCTCTGGTGTAGGGATACACTGATACTGGTATCAGTATCAGTGCTGATACTGAGTATTTTCTGAGTACTCATACTTGTGAAAATCTCCCGATACCGGAAATCGATACTTTGTGGTGCGATTTGCGTCAATACAAATTGCACTGCAAAGATTAGCATGCGATTTTGAACAGGAATGCGATTCCTGTCCAAATCGCATGGCTTCCTTACTTCTTCTGTGTGAACCCAGGCTTGTCATAGCATGAGTTCACAGAGGAGTGGTGTGGGAAACTGTCCAGTAGAGATCCCATGCTGAGCAGAGAGTGGGGAATATATACTATGGAGGCAAATGTTCCATATCCTCAGAGGCTTTCCTCTCCTTGCAGGGATGACAGTTCGGGCTAGAAGGCTTTTGATTGGTCAGCCCCGTTACAAGGACAGTGCTAACCAATCAGATACTGTCTAGCCCATACTGTCATCGCTGGAAGGAGAGGAGAGAGAGCCACAGAGATTTCAAATCCCCTGAGCTGTAAAGCAGCTTTCTCACAGGCCGATATTATATTGCGAGGTACAGCAGAAGAGGACCGTTCTGATGTACAAATCAGGAAAAAAGCCTCCACTTCTAGCATCGTTGTATTTCTAAAACAGAAAAGATGCAATGCCAGGCAGAGATAAATGAAGATGAGTATGCCACACTTTGTACGCCCTGTGCATGCGCAGGATCGGGAGGTGCATGCTGGGTAGCCAGCAGCACCATATCCCGGAAGGAGCAACGAGTGGGCTTTAGATGCCCACACTAAAGATGGGAGCGCGCTTGCTAAAGAGAGCACAGCAAGTTTTTTAAAGAACAATGCAATAAGAAAAACTACATTTATACAAATGCCGGAATGTATTAGATTAGTTGAGACCATTGCGGGGATGTTTTTTAGTGAAAAAAAAAAAGGGCTGGAAATCCGCTTTAACGCTGGCAGAGGAAAACGATCAGCCTTTATTTATTAATGTGAATCCTTTATCCCCCCAAAAAAACAAAACTGTTTATCTGTAACTGATTATAAAATGTGAGCTAGAGTTTGGCTTTAATTTGTTAGTGTATCTAAATCTGGTAATACATTTAACACGACCCTCTCCCCAGACAGTCAATGCTGCTGTTTGCTGTGCCTCCTGTGGTCATTCCTCCAGAGTTGTGTCTCACTAATACAGGAGGTTATAGGTGTTACTGGCCAGATCACCAGTTAAGAACAGAGGGGAAAAAGCCCCCCAAAAAAGAAAACCAATGCAGCCACCATATTTAATGATTGGTAAGCTGCAATATATTACGTTTTTGGTTTTGGGTTTAATCCTACTTCAAGATTTAGGATGACTTTGATTTTGTCTTGAATTTGCCTGTCTTTTATTTGGCATTAACAACACGTAAAGTCTTCCTTACATATGGTATGTAGTATAATAATGTGTAGTATAATTTGCGTCAGCTAATAATAAAAGCTTTGAAAAAATAAATCCTTATACCAAATAAACCCTCTTTTTTTTCAGTCCTTTACTTTTTCGCTCTCCCACCATTGCAACTTTTAAAGCTGAATTCAGGGCACAAAAACTTCTATTTATTTAAAGTAATTCTATAGGTTTTTTTTAATAGAAAAAAATAACAAACATGTCTACACTTTTGCAGAGCAGCTTGGATCCTCCTCTTCCCACCAGCGCTCCTGGCCCCTCCCTCCTGTTGTGTGCCCCCACAGCAAACAGCTTGCTATGGGAGCACCTGCTGCTCCATGTGTCCATTCACACACGAAGCCGCGGCTCGGCCCCCCCCTTCTCATTGGCTCACTGGCTGTGATTGACAGCATTGGGAGCCAATGGCTTCCTCATCTGTTTCAGTCAATGAGAAGAGGGAGTCCTGGGATAGCCGAGACTCCAGTGCACATCGCTGGTTCGAGAGGGGGCTTAGGTGATTGTTAGGGGGGGCTGGGGGGATGCTGTACAGAGAAGGTTTTTTACCATCATACATAGAATGCATGAAGGTAAAAAAAAACTTGAGCCTTTAGAACCACTTTAATGTGCAACTTTAGTAAGAAAATGAAGTCCTGCTAGATCACTTCAGGTTGGGCCCTTTTGCAGGTACAGCTATGTAAAACATTAACAAGTATACTGTTTGAAATCCAGTAATACACTGTCTCACCCTGCTCTGCACATGCTCAGTTGCTCTCCATTTTTAGGCATTTTAGACGATTTTGTATATCCGGGTCTGCTGCTAAGCCTTAACTCGGAATTAAACCCTCCTAGCCAAGGAAGCTGCTTCTGTTTGATCTGCAACTGCCATGGTGCTGCACATGTGATCAGTTATGACACCAGCCATTTGGTGGCTTGATAGTTTCATTGATAGTTCGCAATCCCGGCATTCTAAGAATGTAACAGTTTTTTAAACTGTTTTAATCGATGGGTTTAGTTCCGCTTTATGATTTACTGCTCTTCAGGGGCTTTGGGCTTCAACAAAATGGCAGCTTCCAGCAAGAAGAAGCAGAAACAATGCTGGAGACAATTTACAGCATACACTAGTTTTAGTAGCATAATTATTAATGTGGAATGTATGTTCTTTGCTAAAGAGCATTATTTTTTTATCAAGTTGTTATGGGTAAGGTTCCGCTTTAAGTATATCCCTCAATGACCACAAAGGATATAAACCCACTTTGTGTTCGCCAAATTCCTATTGCCTTGTAAAAGTAGCATCATCATTACTATGCTGTACATAGCCTGTGCAGAGAGCAGAGCTGTGGGAGGGGCCTAGCAGACCCCACACACTAAAGCTGCCTACAGAAAACTACAGGGAGGGGCGGAGCAAGACCGGTCACTTTGCCCAAACAGAGAGAGCAGCAGTGAGTGGTCCTTATTACAGGAAGCTCCTTACTGTATCTGTCAGTCATGCACAATGCAGCATTCAGCCACCTCTGGGAAGTAGCAGTGCAACCAGAAAGTGTTATATTAAACCCTACCAACATTAGATGTAGGTGTACTTGTATGGTGTATATCTAAAGAAAATGCACAAAAAGTGCGTATAATTATTTTTTGTTGTGGACTGGAAAGTCAGTGGTTGCATTTGACCCCTATGTGATTTCTAGTCCTTTAAGGTCCAGATGCAAAAGGCTCAAAAAATAGACCCTTGGTGGGTACTTAGCAGTAAATAGACCCAGCACTGAGTTCATTCCATGGTTGCCAACATCTCAAAAGTTGTATACCCAAAGGTATGTTCCCCAAGAGTTTGAACTAGGACTTTAAGGGCAACCCAAAACAGACAATAGATAATAATTAAATAATTTATTACAAACGTGAAAAGACATCATCATTTAACATATAACATACAGTACATGTTAAGAACCTACATACAACATAGTAAATAAACTGTATATATAACTTGCTAAGAGCTGTATTTCATCATTGGAAAGAGCATGTGGAGAGAGGTTAATGATATTATATTCCCGTTTGGTTCAGGGTTCCATAATCTGCTGGGATTCCCCAACATCGGTTCCACTTGTCCCTATATGGGATCTAAAAAGTCTCGGTGGAATTAAAAGGGAATCGGGGGACACACCATATTTTGTGAATGAGAAGAATAATTCACTACCATATGAGAACCCTTCCCCCGAAGGTCTACTGGGGGCAGGGCATGGGGAACATGACATGCATTTCCTGTTCCTCCCACCAAGGTGGTCACGGGAGAGCGATGATCCATACTATGTGGAGAAGGGCCCTCCAGGGTACGTTCTTTTTTTTTTGGTTGGTGGGTACTGAGCACCTGTAGCAGGGACTCTCACCCACAATATGCACTATATTGCCAAAAGTATTGGTCGGCCGGCCTTTACACGCACATCAACTTTAATGGCCTCCCAGTCTTAGTCTGTAGAGTTCACCATTGAGTTGGCCCCGCCCTTTGCAGCTATAACAGCTTCAACTCTTCTGGGAAGGCCGTCCACAAGGTTTAGGAGGGTGTCTATGGGAAGGTTGGACCATTCTTCCAGAAGCACATTTGTGAGGTCAGGCACTGATGTCTGATGAGAAGGCCTGGCTCACAGTCTCTGCTCTAATTCATCCCAAAGGTGTTCTATGGGGTTGAGGTCAGGACTCTGTGCAGGCCAGTCAAGTTCCTCCACCCAAAACTGGCTCATCCATGTCTTTATGGACCTTGCTTTGTGCACTGGTGCGCAGTCATGTTGGAACAGGAAGGGGCCATCCCCAAACTGTTCCCACAAAGTTGGGAGCATGAAATTGTCCAAAATGTCTTGGTATTCTGACGCCTTAAGAGTTTCCTTCACTGGAACTAGGGGGCCAAGCCCAACCCCTGAAGAACAACGCCACATCATAATCCCCCTCCACCAAACTTTACACTTGGCACGATGCAGTCAGGCAGGAACTGTTCTCCTGGCAACCACCAAATTCAGACACGTCCATCAGATTTCCAGATAGAGAAGCGTGATTGGTCACTCCAGAGAACACGTCTCCCCTGCTCTAGAGTCCAGTGGTGGTGTGCTTTACACCACGGCATCCAAATCTTTGCATTGCACTTGGTGATGTAAGGCTTGGATGCAGCTGCTCAGCCATGGAAACCCATTCCATGAAGCTCTCTACACACAGTTGTGCTAATCTGAAGGCCACATGAAGTTTGTAAGTCTTTAGCTATTGACTCGGCAGACAGTTGGCGACTTCTGCGCACTGTGCGCTTCACCATGCGATGACCCCGCTCTGTCATTTTACGTGGCCTACCACTGTTTCCAGTTGCTTCCACTTTGTTATAATCCCACTAACAGTTGAGCGTGGAATATTTAGTAGCCAGGAAATGTCACGGATGGACTTATTGCACAGGTGACAACCTATCACGGGACCACGCTTGGAGTCACTGAGCTCCTGAGAGCGACCCATTCTTTCACCAATGTTTGTAGAAGCAGTCTGCATGCCTAGGGGCTTGATTGTATACACCTGTGTCCATGGAGGGGATTGGTACCCCTGAATCCAATGATTTGGAGGGGCCCAATACTTTTGGCAATATAGTGTAAGTGCACATTGCTGGGTGTCTTGGGTGCAGCTGTGGACTTTATATTGTCTGTTGTAGAACTATAGTATTTTAATGTGACACATGTTACAGCTATACCTCCATTGTTTTTGTCACATCATTTGTTTTTATACCTGTGCCATGAAATATCTATGTTATTGTAGATGACAAAAATAAAGTAAACTTAAAGGGGAGATGTATTCATATATTATTATTGTATTGTATATTGGTTTCTCACACTGTCTTCTCTCCCTCTTTCTCTTTCACCTTTCCAATGTCTCCTCTCGCCTATCTCTTTGATTTCTTCTCTCATTTCTTCTCACCATTTTTCTCTCTCCTCTATACCATAACCTTTTCTAACGCCCTCCAGGTTAGCTAGATAGGCTGTTTTTTTTTTTCTTTTTTTTTTTTTTAGGCAGATGCTGAGTAGCAGCCCGGGGTGAGTTAGCCTGTGAGTGAGGCAGGAGTTCACCTCAGGACAGGCTAGGAGGCTCAATCAGGTCAGGGCTTCTGGAGCCCTTCCCAGCTCTCCAGAAACCTGAGAGATTTCTGGAGGAGGGGAGGAGGCCCAGATCTGCATGCTTGTGGAACTCTGGCCAATCCCCTGGCAGGAGGCTGGGCATGGTGACCAAGGGAACCCTCAAATGTGGCAGAGCCTAAGGGGAGGTGCACACAGTCAGGTGTAAGATGGATTGAGGCCCCAGGGAGGGGAGCCCACCTGCAGGCAGGTCATAGTAAAAGAGGATCTCCACTACCTCAGTGTCTCCCAGAGAGGACAGCCTGTGTAGCAGGGAAGGAGCCGGTCCAGCGTGGGGCCTGGAGGCTTCCACCAGCCCACCATGCTGACAGGAGTGAACAGTGTGAGTGCTCTTGCACCTTCTGGGCCAACTAGGGGGAAGGGGTGGTCAGGTGAGGGACCCAGCTAGTTTCTCGTCTGGGACTGTTTCTAGGCTGGCAGCTCTTGGGTCCCCTTGCCCAAGGAATGCCCTCAGTCCAGCTGGGTGAGGAGGAGTAATCATGCGGGGTCTGAGGAGGTACACTAGGAAGAGTCTTTGGAGCTCTTCAAGGAAAGAGACTGTTGCTACCCATATTTTTGTATATAGGGAGTTTGTCCTCAGGTTCTGCAGATCCTTGAGCATCCCATGTACCCCCAGACCCCATCCCAGTTCTTAACCCCTTGATAAAATCACGAGAAGAAGCTCGAGAACCTTACTGACTCCTGTGTGCAAAATGTGGGAAATTCATGTTGCCTGGCCATGCAGAGCATGGGGGAACCCATTCAGATCAAGCGGCCCCTAAGGCGGTAGTGCTACACTTCTATCTAGATCTATCTCCTCAAGTCTCTCTTCTCTCCCTTTTAAAACCTTTTCTCACTTCAGTGGCTCCCCTTTCTCCTTCCTTTCTACTCTCTCCTCTCCTTACCCTATCCCCTCTTTCTGTCTTTTCTTGTCTCCCTTTTTATTCTTTTCTCTTTAAGAAGCCGGCTTTCAGCTGCTGCAGGGGATTGGTTCCAGTAATCGCCCTTGTGCTGATAACCCTGCCTGCCCACATCTGATTCACCTTGCTGCCTGGGCCCCCCTGCTGGCCTGGGCTCTAAACAGGAGGACTGGTGATACCCCCTTATCCATGGCCCTGCTTTCTCCTTCCTCTGCGCTCTCTCTCTCCTCTCCGCTCTCTCTCTCCTCTCCGCTCCCTTTCCCACTCTCTGTCCTCTTACTTCTCCCTTTCTAATCTTTCCTTTGTCACTTTCCAGTTTCCATTCTCTCCTCTCTGTCTCCACTTACTAATCTTTTCCCTTTCCATTTAACAATGTCTCCCCTCTACTCCTTCTCCTTCCTCTCCGCTCTCTCGCCTCTGTTTCCTTTCCTACTCTCTGTCCTTTTTCTTCTCCCTTTCTAATCTTTTGTCTGTCTGTCTCTCTCATTCTCTCTCCCTTTTCCAGTTTCTCCTCTCTGTCTCCCCCTTCTGATCACCTCTCTTTTCCTTTTCCAATGTCTCTCCTTCATTTTCTCTCTTCCCTCTCTCGCTCTCTCTATCTTTCTTTTCTCTCTGTATTCTGTAGCCTCCCCAGCGGTCTGATTATGTCAGTATTTCTGTGCTCAAAGCGGTACATTGTTTTCAATGGAAATATGTCATTTTTCTATTGTAGGCCTGTAATTTTTAGGAATAACTCAGTGAAATCTGTCCAAACAAGAGTCTAGTAAACATCCCGGGTAGGATAAAATTTGAAACACGAAATCATAAATTATAATTTAATAAATAATCATAAATAAGAATAAATTTAATTCAATAATATAATCAAACCAAAAATATTGAAATTTGAAATATTGCGCCAAGTTCGCACATCACTGAGCAAAGTCGCAAAATCGTTTTCAGTGTCTGATGACGAATTTCCCCCACGAATCATTATCACTCAATTCTGCAAGTGGTTCTAATTTACTATCGCTGTTCTCTAGCCGGTCTAAAACCGCTTTTGACCTAAAGGGACACTTTTTGGACGCCATGGACTTTTCTCAGTTTCCAGGCAGAAAGAACAGTAAAAATTCAGGCAGGGCGCCGGACAAAGCACTCGGGACAAAATGTATGTGAAATGGTTTGATACAGGAATGTAATATTATGTGATTTAGTGTATTGAGTGAAAATCAAATTTTTACATTTTTTAAATTCCCGCCGGTTCTGTCCCCCGTATGTCCCAACGCTTGCAGGGAACGGAACCCGGAAGACAGATGCCGGCATCGGCCGGAAGAGATGGCCGGGGATGCTGCAGGGGGGACATCGCGGGAGCGCAGCACAAGGTAAGTGCTGGAGGGATCCCGGAGCAACACTGCAGTGTATTCCCGAGTGTAGCTCGGGGTTACCGCTTGTGGTGCTGAAACTTTACCCCGAGCTACACTCGGGAATACTGCCAGGGGGGTTAAGATGTACTTGTAATGTGTCATATCATTACTGAATAGATGTTATGGAGCATTCTCAGTACATATAGATCTACTAAACTATGAGATTCATGTTTTCCAGTTTGCTGCTCCATATTTCATGATGGCATATTCGATGTGGTATCAAAAAGTTTCAAGACTAGTTTTGTAACATGCCAACAGAGGGCAGCACAAGGCTGCACACACAGTCACAGGGAGCACCGACCTTCATAAGTCATTGTGCCAAAGACATCGTCCTGTGTACATTGGGAGCTGTGCAACTGATGCTATTCACGCAGACTTTGACGTTTGTTCTAACTTACTGTCCATGATGAAATAACAGACCTGGTAACACACGTGATCAGAATAGCACCAGTTGCACAATTATGTATTGTACCTGAATGTTAATAAAAACGATATTTCCTTTTCAATCTGCAGTGCTGTCATTTCCTGTAAAATGCAATATGGCTACCTAGAGGAGTTCTGTAGACAGATGGTGTACAGAACTCCCCCTGAAAATTAAATTTCCTGCTTGCATGATTGGCTTACCGATTTTCCCAGAAGTCTGCACTAAGATACGAGTCCAATTTTTGGCATCCCCTGCCACAAAAATGTCCTTTTTGGTGAGATACTACCAAGAGGAAATCCTGACTAAAAGGGATGCAGGCCCTGCCACTTTCCTCATTATGACCTTGCAGGCACAGAATCTGGCTGATAACTATACAGCCACTTCCATACAGATTCACTCCACACATGGACACAGAGAAACAAACAGCTATTTCTTTAGAATAACAAAAGGTAGAAACTTACAACAAAGTTTGTTAAAATGCCTGCAATGTACAATGTAGATCACCCGGAGGGGAATGTTTTTTCTCAACAAAAGTGGAGTTACTCTTTAACCACTTGCCGTCCGCCTGCTGTTTATAAACGGCAGCACGGTGGCAATCTAGGGGCGGGTTGCCGTTCATAAACGGCACCCGCTATTTCTAGCTGTGCGTGCTCCCTGGGAGTGCGCAGCACCGCGATCCGTTGCCCGCTGTGTCCTCCGGACACAGTGAAACACCAATTGTCAGATGGCCCGAGGTCCTGATCATGTGATCACTGATTGGCCAATCAGTGATCACATGCAAAGTAGTTAGCAAGATGTCACTTCTGACATCATTGCTTACTACGTGTGAAATCTGTGAATGATCACAGAGGTCACATGGTACAAGGCTATTCACAACAGGCTTGTACCATGTGACAAGCTGTGACCAATCACAGCTCACTCAGTAGTTCTCAATAGCTGCAAGAATGCAGACAGAGAGAAAGAGAAATGATTGCTTTTACATCCTATATGGGTGTAAAAGCAATCACTGTAAAAAAAAAAAAATCTTCATCACCCCCCACAAGTAGTACAGTGTCACCATGGTGACACTGTACTGCTAGGGTGACCGTATGTAAAAACAAAACAAAACATAATAATATAAAAAAAAAAATAAAAATGTAAAAAAAAGTTTACAAATTATAATTTTTGGTTATAAGCTAATTTGGCTTTTTTTTTTTTTTACTAAAAAGATAACGGAATACATTTTGGTCAAGATTTATGATGAAATATTATTTATTTGCAAAATTTTATAAGAAAAACACTTTTTTCAAAATTTTTTGACTTTTTCATTTACATAGCAAAAAAAATAAAAATTCCAACGGTGAATAAATACCACCATAATAAAGCTTTATCTGTCTCAAAAAAATGGTAAAAAATTCATATGGGTACAGTGTTGCATGACCGCGCAATTGTCATTCAAAGTGTGATAGCGCTGAAAGCTGAATATTGGCCTGGACAGGAAGGGGGTAAAAGTGTCCGGACTGGAAGTGGTTAAGAATATGTAGAAATCTGTTGGGTAACTGCTCAGAATGTTTGAGCCGTGATGAAGGGGGAATGTGTTTGTGTTGTATATTATTTTTCATGGACAATTAAGGCTTTGTGGACTTTTTCACCATTTTATTTGGTATTTGTGTTATATGCAGATACATTCTTTGAACCACTTTTCTGTGCACCCTCTGAAGGGGAGCTTTATTGTGCGTGAGCAACAGAGTCAGCTTATTGAACATTTATTGTTGTTTTTATGTTTCGGAATGAATGAAGTTTCTGCACCTTGTTGATTTATTCTTTGAAGACTAGCAATAACACAGCAGTTTTTTGTTTTCGGAGTCCCCCTGTAACATTGTTATATAAACCGCTTTGTTGATGCTAGTGACTAACTGCAACCTACATGTCATTTTTGATTTTTTCAAAGTTCCACTGTAATGCTAAAGTAGAATTCCTGCCTAGCACTGACTGTGTTTAAAAATGTTCTTTCCCCTCTATAATTGTATATTTACCTATTTGCAGTCCGCTCACATGATTTATCTATTACAGGTACTTATATAGCGCCGTCAATTTACGCAGCGCTTTACATATATATTGTACATTCACATCAGTCCCTAACCCTCAAGGGGTGTACAATCTAAGGTCCCTAACTTACATTCATACGTACACATAATAGGGACAATTTAGACAGGATCCAATCACCTACCAGCATGTCTTTGGAGTGTGGGAGGAAACCGGAGTACCTGGAGGAAACCCACGCAGGCACAGGGAGAACATGCAAACTCCAGGCAGGTGGTGCCGTGGTTGGGATTCAAACCAATGACCCAAGAGCTGCCAGGCGGAAGTGCTAACCATTTAGCCACTGTGCTGCCCTTGCGACCAAGCCCTGGAGTTCTATCACTGTAAGACACGGGTGTCAAACTGGCGGCACTTCCAGATGTTTCCAAACTACAAGTCTCATGAGGCTTTGCAAGATGATGCATTTGATCAGCAGCTTTCAGTGGACAGCTGCTGCAGGGGAGAGGAGGGAGTACCATCAACCATTGAGACAATAGAACCTATGGGTAATGTCATCACTCCTTGAATTCCCTGCCGCTGTTGGGAGCTCCCTACTCTTCCCTCCAGCCGCCATTCACTGATACATGAGGCCCATGAGGCTTTGCAAGATGATGCATTTGATCAGCAGCTTTCAGTAGACAGCTGCTGCAGGGGAGAGGAGGGAGTACCATCAACTGTTGAGACAATGGAACCTATGGGTAATGTCACCACTCCTTGAATTCCCTTCCGCTGTTGGGAGCTCCCTACCCTCCAGCCGCCATTCACTGATACAGAGGGTCATGTGACCGGCCTGGATCAAGAACAGCCTCCCTCTGACGCCTGGATTCTTTCTTAGATACACAGAATATAACTGGATACTAACATTTATAGGTAAAGTTGATCCAGGGAATATCCGATTGCCTCTCGGGGGATCAGGAAGGAATTTTTTCCCCTGCAGGAGCAAATTGGATCATGCTTTGCTGGGTTTTATTTTTTTGCCTTCCTCTTTATCAACTGTGGGTATAGGATTATAACTTTTATTTTCTTTCTATGGTTGAACTGGATGGACTTTTGTCTTTTTTTTCAGCCAGACTAACTATGTAACTACTGTATGTGACCAGCCTGGATCAAGAACACCCTCCCTCCTCTAGGTGATCGCTACTACGGTCCCGTACATCACACGCTGCCTGTAAGTGAAATTTGGGGACTTCCTATTGGTGGAGGGCCAAGGTCCTATTACAGAAAATCCAAAATACAGTTGAGTTGGAACTTGGTGTAATTCATAAAATGCAGTTACTTTATTGGCTACAGGTACAACACACTGGTAATCTAACGCGTTTTGGCTGTAACATCCTTCCTCACATGACTAATATGGCTCAGATGGAGCAGTCAATCTTGGGTATTGTATATCCTTTTGTGTGGTTTGTCCTATCACAGAGTCTTCAAAAAGCAGCAGAACTTGGGGGTCCCCAAGGGAAAAATGAGGGGATGAAATTATCCAATCCGTGTCTGAGGAAACGATTTCCAGAGCAAAGAGGTGAGTTTTGAAGACACCATTTCATCAAAGACAAGGTGTTTGAGGACCCCACCCAGGAAAGAGGTCAAAGTCATTTATTATGTATTGATAAAACTGGACTTTTTTCCTAGACTTGGGCTTCAAAAATAGCACAAACCTAAAATTACAGGTTAGGAGAACTTCAGCAGATGGTAACACGTGGACGTTTTGTGGTCTAGAAAATAAGTCATTTCCTACCTACAAAGAGAGAAATGAGAGCTATGGAAGCGAGGCTTTCTTGTCCCAGTTAGCTGTGCAGTTTGGGCATATCATATTTTCATCCAGCTGTATTAAAAACACCGTCCTACAATGGCCATCACATTGCTGAGCTCTGGGCGTACTCCGCACAAATACTTGACTGAAACCGATGGCTGCATTCTTTTTGACTTTCATATCCATTTTTACTTGCTTTTCCGTTTTACTTTTAATGGAAAATCCAGATCTTGTTCAGGAACCAAAGAAACCAATAACAGAAAAACAAAAAAATCTAGGTCATTACCACATCTAGAGTCCATTAAAGGGACCCTGTACTGTCGTTGCTGACCTTTTGAAAATGATTGCTGTCTGTCTCTGGTTTCAGTACTTTTCATTTACTGACCGGGAAAAAATATATATCAAAGTCAGAACTCCTGATCTGCATACTTGTTGAAGGTCCTCAGCACAGAAGGGACTAAAGGCGCTGGATCAGCATGGCAGCCAGACAGCTAGTATTTCCAGAAAGAGAGGTTAGTAATGCAGTTCTCATGTTTCTTAGGTACACGTTTCCATTTGAAGAGAAACTGGCATCTTGCCCATTTAGCCCATTTGTCAAAGTGACATTTTCTTTCTGAATACATGCATAACACAAGCAAGAGCTCCGGTTTTCAAGTTAGAATTAATTACAGGGACTGAGGGACTTTTCGTATTGCAAAACATTTGTAAACCGAAATGCGGTTTCCCATAGGAATGCATTGAAGACCAAATAATCCATTCCGGAAGTCAGAAAAAAGTCAAAGTCTATCTGTTCAAAACTCTTTATGAAGTGCACTTTAACCGCTAGCCTACAGGGCACATATAACCCCTTCTTGCCCAGGCCACTTTCCAGCTTTCAGTGCTGTCACACTTTG